GGAGAGCACAATTGCGCATAACAATGAGAATAGAAAAGGTTTAACCACATGTGTATGGAATAGATCAAGTCTTTCTTGGATTTCCCAGGGTATTCTGTTGCACATAAGTCTTGCAGTCAAGATGCCTTGTCATGTTCGATGCAATTTGGTTTTCCCCGCTTTTAGAGTAATTATTGTACTTACTCGCAAAGGCAAAATATTCAACGTTCGTCATCATACTTGGGCCCGATGCGCTTTTCCTGTAATTTCCAGGTTGACCCATTGCAAGCTGCAATGTACTTGTCTTGATTTGCCATTGTTTCTTGGGCTGCTAGAGTACATAGGTGTGTGCTTAGGGTTTCTAGGGCCTTCGCATGGAGCATACAACAGCCAGGGCCTTCGCATGGAACATGCGGCATCATGGAACCAGCCACGGCATTACGGAACCAGCTAGGGTATATGTGAGTGCGCCTGGGGTTGCCAAGGCCTTCGCATGGAGCATGCAGCATTGTGGAACCAGCCACGGTATCGCGGAACTGGCTAGGATATGTATGAGTGCGGCTGGGGTTGCCAGGGCCTTCGCATGGAACATGCGGCATTGTGTAACTAACCATGGCATCGCAGAACTGATCATGGCAACCTAGAATCGGTCAGTATTCATCACACAAATTGGAGTCAATGATATATTTACTCATAATAGATCATACGTACATTGCACAGTTCAAAATATATAACAGTACATCATATTTTCATTGCAAAATTCAAAATGCATCATAAGGTATCATATTTTTTTTCTCATAATTATATGTTAAACTTGGAATATATCATGATGTATCATAAGATCATCGCAAAAATCCAAAGTCAGTAATATGCATTCGAAATTAATCGCATTCTTGTTTCAGGAAGAATCAAAATGCACTATGTATTAAATACAACACATCTTTCATATACAAAACATATGACAATTACTCTTTCAACCAGTGACCATTCAAAGTTTTGTCTTCCTCTCCTATGTCTACAGTTTTTAGTACATAGTTCCCAGACGAGTGAGCTTCCTAGATTACATATGGTCCAACCCAATTAGGTGTGAACTTTCCAGTAGATTTTCCCTGTCTAACATGGAGTGCTATTTTGAGGACTTTGTCTCCTTTAAATTTCCTAGGATTTACCAATTTGTTAAAGTTAGAAGCCATGGTTTGTTTGTATTTAATCGGTTTCTATAGTGACTTCTCCCTTTCTTCATCGATGAACTCTAACCTGTCATTGAGCATCTGATCTGTGTCCTCCGTTCGGAACCATTTTCCCATCGCAAAGGCTACGCGGGCAGAGACCGTCTATATTTCTATTAGTAACACAGCTTCCTATCCATACACCAAGGATTAAGGTGTTGGTTGTGTGCTTTTTCTAATCGTCATGTGATAAGCCTAGAGAGTGTCAAACAACTTTTCCGACTAGTCTTTCTGGTTATCTACCACCATCTTGCTCAGCATCCTCAACAATGTTTCTTAAATCTCCTCCTTTATACATTTACTTCTTAAGGAAGTTATCTTACCTTGCCTGTATTGGAAAAGACAAAAGTTGCTTAATTATGCATTTCCCATAAGTAAGCATTCTCAAACACTTCCATCATTTGTCAAGATTATCCTGCATGCCAAAATAGAATATGCTAGATAGATACCGTGTTTAAGCATGGTAACATTATCAGTTCACATATTTTCCCCCCTTTTGACTTGATAATATCATCTCATACATTTTCATTTTTAACATCAATTACACATTTCTCCTCCTTTTGGCATTAGCAAAAAGGAAAGAAAGCAAGGAAAAATCAAATCAATTACACATACATATAGGCATCAAAAGCACCAAGTCTCATAGATCTAAGCATTATATCAAGAGTATCAATTAAGAGCTAGAGTGCATAAATCACCAAAACACATATTATCCTTAAAGAACGTAGATCAAACAAACATAAGTTTAAAATCATATTAAAGTTCATGGATGATGGACAGAAGAATCAAGAAATGCAAAGACCATCCTAAGAGGAAGTTGAGTAGTATTGATCCATGAAATTATCAACAATGTGAACAGATATTCCATATAACCTTCTAGAGCTATCAATCTCTCATCTACTTAAGTGGAATAAGCTTTAAACCTGGTATCATGGATATTAGAGAGGCTTAATAGAGATTGAATCCAAGTAGTGATGCAAATTGATGTACATAGACATTTTGGTATAAATAATATAAGTACATAATTGTTCTATGTTCAAATTGGGTTGTTTCTGTGAATTACTCCTTAAACTTGACATTTATGAGATTGTGTTAATATAAATTTAAATTGTTCTCAGCCATTGGATAGACTTGTGGGATTTATCTTTACAAGGCTGACAATGATATGTTGCCAAATTGGTAGAGCAACTTGTCTCAGCTATTAGGGTTAAACCCTAAGCACAATTAGTGGAGGTTTGGAAAAAAAAAAAAAACTAAACCTGGACCAATTTCCAATTATACCTTGGACCTTAGAAACAAATGAGCAAAATTGAAAAGTTGCACTCAACTCCAAACTTGATTATGATACTATACTAGGTATTGGATTGACCTATTTTTGATATGCCAACTAGTGAGATTCATAAGGGGTCAAATACTTGGACATGTTAGGACAATTTAGAAAATTACCTGAGTGGTGATCATATTTATAGGATTGACCCCTTGTTAGACAAAATGAATATAAGCGCTTTATTTTCTCTTCAATGGAAACCTAAACCACTATCAATGGATTTTAGCTATACTTGAAATTAGATTTTCAAAATGTATTTATACATATTTTTTATTATTTTTTGAAAATGATTTGCAAAAGGTTTTAATCTTGGGATCCATTTGAGTAGAGAGTGTGACAATGCTTTTTGCAGTTAGGGAAGAGGTCCTTCCTTGTGAATAATGTTTTAATTATTATGGGATGAGAGGTTAAGGGCAAAAGACCATTAGAGGGCTGATAACTTGATGGAATTCATCTTGTGTAAGTTCATTATCCTTAGGTTTTCACAGGGTAACTAAATCCAATGATTTCTTGTGTTTTTAGTGTTGGGCCCAACTGAGACCAAGTTGTTGGGTCAAGGGTTCACTGCCCTTGGGAAGTGAATTTGGTTTGCCCCTTTCCAAGGGTAGGGTCGAACCCATGTGGACTTATGTAAGACTTTATGGGTCCAATGCCATAGAATATTCATGCCTAAGTGGCCAAGCAATGTCTAGATATGTGAATCATTAAAGAATATGGGTCTTAGGCCCATTATTAATATGATTAGTTTAAGTAGTCACATGCATCGAATATGGGTAGGATATGAGTATGGAGCATCCATTATCTTAAAAAGATAATGTGCTTAGGCTACATTTGGCATTCCTTATTTTAAGGACTTATTTCCTTTCTGCAGTTAAAAAATCGATGTTCATAAGAGCATTTTAATTTAAAAAAGGAGATAAGTCCGTAAAATAAGGAATGCCAAATGCAACTAATATGGATAAGTCTTGATCTATATTTGATTTGGATTAACTCTTAATAGGATTATGAAAGTGCTCTATATAAGGGAGTAAGATGGAGGGGGCAAACTATCCTATTCTCCTCACTTTTTTGCTCCTTTTCTCCTCCCTTCACATCCTAAAACCCTAGTTTGAACCAGCCATAGTAAGGGTTGATTCTGATCAGTCCTCTGTTGTGTTTTTGGGAAAAAAAACATCAAAGAAGTTAAGGTTCACATAGCTACATCAATTTCAAAAAGGTTGGGGCTCCGTTTTGTAGAAATTGTGTTGTTGAATTAGCTTCACACATACACAACTATGCCATTTTTAGTTGGAAGTCGATTTGGATTTGATATTGGGTGTGAACTACCACTCTAAGAGCTACATTCTGTGGACTTGTTATCGGGTATGTTCAGTTCTAAATTTTTGGTTTAAATTTGGTTTGGTTCAGTGCAAGATTGATTCAGAAATTCAGATTTCAAAATACCGAGAAACTGATTCTTGACTTGGGTTGGATTTTTTTTTTTTAAATTCAGACAACAACTGTAAGAGGTTCAACCATGATTAATCAAGTTTCCAACTCTTCCGATAATGGTATCAGAGTAATATGTTCAGTTCTTACACAAAACTTGATCAGATTTGTATATGTAAACTAAGAATTCGGTTCTTAGTTTGGGCTAATGATCTGGATATTCATTCTTTATATTTTTTTTTGCCATTATTTAGACTAATTTTGTGATAGAATGTTGAATTTATGGGTTGGAGTGGGGTAGAGATTGAATTCTTTAATGGTTGCAAGGTTGATGCACACCATGTGATTTCAATATTCATATACAATTTGTAATTAATTTTTTTTTATTTTTCTTAGACATATTGTACTAGGATTTTTCTAATAGAAAATTAGGATTTTCTCAACTGATTTATATTGGAGAAACAACGGCAGATCACAATGCATGAAGAGAATAAGTTCGATGTGCAAAGAAGAGATCAATGTAGTTATACGGTTTTAGTTCGGATCGAATTCGAACCATCACACTCTCAACTCAAGTAGTTTTATTGCTGATCATATTTGCTTATTTGATTGTGAATCATGGCTGAAAATATTCAGATGATAAACTTTGAATTTAGTACATGTTGTGGACATCAAACCCCATGTTGATTTGACATAGTTTTGGTCTGGCCTATATTAGTCAAACTTAGGGTTTTTTGGGGACTAACAACAACTCCTTAGATCACTGGTTAAGATCATTGATTAAGTGATCATTTACAAAAATAAGTCAAGGGATTGATGGGCCATTACATGGACCAATTCAGCCCACATTTGAAAAACCTATTTTGTTCTGATTAAAGCAAAATTAGCTCATTTGGTTATTGACGGCTATATGGGCCAAACTGTTTTTCTTAGTTGGGCTGATATAGAATATTTGATAAATGAATCCAACAAAGAATTGATAGTTTATTAATGGATTGATAGTATACCTACATGGCGCTTATAGGACCACAACACCGCAGTCCAAACACCTCCTAAAACATTCATACAGGACCCACAGTCTGGTGTTTCTATCAAGTTCTGAGAGGAAGAATAAATCACACCCCTCCCACCGGCGCAAGAGGTGAAATCAACGTGCAAATAAAAATCTCGATACTCAAGTTGCGGCAAGCTTCATCTGTTCTAGGTGGATGTCCAAAATGAAAATGTCGAACGAAGAAAGACGTAACAGCAAGCTTGAAGAGGCACTCGAAGTGAAGTCGTTGAGGCGAATCATCAGCGCCTATCTCAAGTAAGCTTAACCTTTCCTTCCATATTCTCGTTTTCCGAATAGGGTTTCTTATTCTTTTGCTTCTGACTGGAATTTTCAGTTGGGCTTTTCTTGTTTGTCCATTACTGCTTTAGCATTGATAGGTGAACTTGGGTGATTGAATTTTGATTTTATTCTCAGTCTGTTTTATTTTGGTTATGAGGTTGACAGTACTATTCTTTCGTTTACATTCCCATCTTTCCTTTTTATTTAATTGATGAACTTGGTTACCTTGTTTTCTTTTGGCTGTTGTTGTGTAAATATCATATTTCCCCATTTCTATGGTTAAGTCTATTTATTTATTTATTTACCTTAGGAGAGAGCAAAGTTTTTGAGATTTTTTTTTTCAAGTTCCCATTTCATCTGGTTAATTAATTATAATTATTTATTGCTTTAATTAAGCAAGGATACTTTAGATTTTATCCTTATTTGTTTGTCTTACTTTATATTGAATTAGGCCTGTGTTGTTTCTTTTTCTTCTTCGTTGATTTTCGAAATGGCATTCCTTTCTCTTGTTAAGTAATTCCATTACCGTTGTTTGTCATTTTTGTTATTAGTAAGATGGTTTTGCTGTTGAAATAATTAGCCTTCTTTTATCATGTTATGTAAAAGAATAAATAAATAATCTCTGCTTGTCTTATGTAACTAAGAGAACTCTATTGAGCTCAGTTTGGAAGGAGTACAAATACAAATATGTAGAGTGCAAAACCTTGTTTGTTGTATTATTTTGTATGTATTTGTACTATGCATATTTGCATTTGTACTCTTTCCAAACTGAGTCGTAGGAACAAATCTTGAAAGTTCTAGTAATCCAGGGTCACCAAAGCCTGAAGTAATTTATGGAAAGTATGTAAAGCAGATAATGGACAATGAAAATGTAAAATAGAAAGGAGAACATAATAATAAACACAAGCTTGGACTTATTTTCGAAATTCTCCTTTAATGTTGGAGAAGTTAGGAAATGGTAGCAAAAAGCTCTACTCTGAAGGAGAAGCCCTATGCTGTGTGGAGGGCCCCCGAGGAAGGCTTTATAAAATTAAATTTTGATGACAGCAGTTTAGGAAATCCTGGGCTATCTGGAGTTGGGGGGGTGGTGTATTTAGGAACACAGAAGGTCATAATCATATTCTTCTCTTTTTCTTTGGCCCTATTGGAGTTGGAAATTTTGTAAAGAATTCTGAGCACCTTTACAAGGGGTACAGATTTCTAGAGAGCTTAACTTTGAAAGATTGCTAATTAAAGCCGACTCCAAAGTGTTAATTGGGTGGCTGCAGAATCTGGAGATGGTAAAATTGTCTTATAGGGAAGCTATGAGAAGATTTAAATGGCAGACTCCAGACATGACAGTTAAAAGTCATTGGTAAAGAAGATCGGCTAATGGGATGGCAGATTTCTTAGCTAAGTAGGGGTGTTTGGATCACTTATTTTGGGCTCAGTTGTAATTTTATTATTACTTTGAGGCTGCATATTGTGCCTCGATTTGGGAAGCCTCTATTTTTTATCATTCTCTTAGAAATCACTATTACTTATCAAAAAAAAAAAAGCTACTTTATTCTGCTTAAGTCAAACTCCAGCCTCTTTAGATCCCTTTGATGTACCCACATCTTTTGTTTTTTGTTTTTTTCCTCTTGTTCACGTACAGGACTGGTTTTCCCTCAGTTGTTACTTTGGCTTGGATAGGGTCTGGGCATCTGGATTCTTCTCTGTTTTGATAAATCTCGATAGGATTCAATTCTAGATTCTCTGAAGACTGAATGACAGAACTCATGCAGACCACTTCCCACAACAATGTTTAGAAAGGTCTAAGCAATGAGTTTGCTAACGAGATCTTTTTCATGGTTTTCCCTCAGTTGTTACTGTGGCTTGGATAGGGTCTGGGCATCTGGATTCTTCTCTGTTTTGATAAATCTCGATAGGTTTCAATTCTAGATTCTCTGAAGACTGAATGACAGAACTCATGCAGACCATTTCCCAAAAAAACAATGTTTAGAAAGGTCTAAGCAATGAGTTTGCTAACGAGATCTTTGTCATGGTCAAGTGCCTTGTTAAACTACGAATATATAACAATTTGCACAATTGCATGCATGATTAATTGTCTCTCTGCCTCCCCGTGGCAGCAGGAGCAGGCCAAAAGAGTACAAAGCAAGCTCCAAAAGACATGGAACACAAAGACATAGCTACAGATCTGTTACAAAATACAATCCTGCCCTGGCTCCCCATTCAATATGTTATATGCCACATAATACATGCATGGAGGAGTTTTTAAAGGCCATGGAATGAAACCATCATGGTTCTTTCCAGTGAGGTTGGTTTTGGGACTCATAAATTTGAGATTTGTTCTCTTTGGATTCTGATCATATTTAGGTAGATGATGATTCTCAGTGTCATCAGGTGGTTACTGCACAATCTGATGGTCCTTGGATCTCATAAGGGAGGGCTATGATTTTATGTCCAGAATGAACACATCATCTATGAGGATACCTGGGTAAGCTAACTTGGTGGTAGACCTTGAGGTTGGGTTGGAAGGAGTTGGTTGTGTTGTGCTGATGGTAGACTGATATATATTTTTTTGATCAATAACTTTGAAAGAATTTCATTAATTAGAAAACTTTAGGATACAACAAGAAGTTGTGAAAGAAATCAGCTTAGTAAGCTGACCCAGGACAGAATTACAAATGTGCCCAAAACATGTGTTCTTTGAACTCCTTGCTTTGCTAAACTATCTGCCAAACTGTTGGCAGATCTCCTAACCCATCCCACCTGGATTGACATGGTCCTTGACATCCATTTAAATCTTTGAAAATCATTCTTCAACTGCCATGTCACCCCTTCCCCTTTTTGCAGCCATTTTATCATAGTTTTTGAGTCTCCCTCGATGATCAGTCTATTAATACCCAACTCTTTAGCCTTCTCAACCCCATATGCTGCATCTAGAAACTCTGCCCTTGCCACATCACCCTCCTCCATAGGACTGGAGTATAGAGCAATAATGAGTTCATTTTCATCTCTAATGGCCCCCCAATGCCTGAAGGGCTTGGGTTACCCACACAATTCCCATCAAAGTTCAGCTTCTTCCAACCATCTGTTGGAGGAGACCAAGCCTCAAAAAACTGTTGTCTCGTAGATGATGAGGCAGCAATTAGACCCAAACCCTGAAAAAGTCTTCGACCTTAAAAGCTGAAAGCAACTTCAAGCTTTTTACCCAATGTGCCACCCTCAATGTTACTGTTTCAACTAAAGCTTCCTTGCATTTTTCTTTACCTTCAAATATTCTATCATTTCTTTCCTCCCAAATGGTCTAAAGTATTGCTGCTCTAGTACACCTCCATAGAATCCTAGTCCTCATTGTCATTACCACTGATACCATTAGGGTTGAATAAACCTTCCACCCTGTCAGGAGAGGACCACCTACACCCAAAAAGGGAAGTAAACCAATTCCAAATAAAACTGACAAAAGGGCAAGATATTAGAAGGTGGAAAGCAGTCTCACCACTTAGCTTACACAGGACACACCAGTTAGGGGACAAGCACCAATTTGGTCTTTTCCTTTGGCTTACATCATAGGTATTAATACAACCATGAAATACTTCACAAAAAGCACTGATTTTAAGGGGAGTAGGAGGGCACCAAATTTCTTTGATTGGGAAAGGAAGAGAAGATTGTGTGGCAACCAACGAATGTAGAAGGGATTTACAAGAAAACGACCCGTCAGATTTAGGACCCCAAATCCTAGAATCTGACCCACCTTCCCCCAGAAATACTGAATTCAGCAATCCTAACAGCTTAGACACTGCAAGAAGTTCAGACTCTCTAAGGTTTCTGTTAAATCCAAAGTTCCAATTCAACCCTGGAAGGTGAGATGGTTGGCTTAGGAAATCTAAAATAGGCTTACACTTGAACTCGGACAGATCACAAAGAGAAGGAAATTTCTCACCCAAAGGAGTATCCCCAATCCACACATCCTCCCAAAATCTGATTTTGCTACCAGAAGACAAGTCATACCTGATATGATTTAGGAATGTAGGGAGAACATCATGGATGGCCTTCTAGGGAGCAGCCAAGGTAGCCCTACAGAGACATCCAACATCCCATCCATTGCTCGACATGCCATGAATGCTTGCAACCACTTTGTGCCATAATTTCTCATTTTCATTTGGAAGCCTCCAAAGCCATTTGCAAAGCAAAGTCTGATTCTTTAGTCTAACATTACCTATTTCCGAACTCCCTTCCACCTTCAATTTCCTCACCTTTTCCCATCTAACCAAATGATCATTCTTTTTTTTCCCCTGGTTCCCAGAGAAAATCCCTCATTATTTTTTCAATTTTCCTCACTATCCCTTGTGGCATCCTAAACACTGTCATGTAGTAAGTACACTGGAAGATTTGCTAAAGTAGACTTAATTAGGGTTATTCTCCCCCCCAGTGAGATATAGTTCCTTTTCCACGCCGCCAAGCATTTCTCGATCCTTTCCACCACCGGAGACCAAAAACTAGCAGATCTAGGGTTGTCTCCAAGGGGTAAACCCAAGTATTTCATTGGCCACTCACTTTTCTCACAACCTAGTGAATTTGTCAGAAATCTCACTTCATCCTCTTCAATGTTGGTTCCAACCAATAAGATCATTGACCAATTAATCCTCAAATTAGACATCATCTCAAAGAGTTTCACAACCAGCCTCAGATTTTCCACTCCCTCCCTACTTTTTCCATCACAAAAAATAAGAATATCATCTGCGAACTGTAAATGAGTGACTAAAACATTATCCCTCCCAACTGGCTAACCCCTGAATAGTTGCACACAATTTGTTCTTGAAATCAATTTACTTAGGGCTTAAACAATCAAAGTAAATAGAAAGGGAGAAAGGGGGTCACCCTGCCTGATCCCCCTGAAAGAAATCATACACTGTTCCATTAACTATTACTGAAAAGTGACTAGTTTGTAGGCATCCCATGATCCATTTACACCACAAATTTCCAAAGCCACACCCCCTCATAATATCAATCAAGAAGTTCCAATCCACTAAGTCATAGGCTTGTTCCAAATCCAGTTTGATAGCCACTCCCTTCCTCTTTAATCTCTTTTGAGCCTCCACACATTCATTGACAATTAAGATTTGATCAATAATTTGTCTATCTTGCACGAAAGCCCCTTGAGCTTGAGAGACAAGTGGGGGGGATCACCTTCTTAATCCTAAGAGACAACACCTTTGCTATCACCTTGTAAATACTGGTGATTAGACTTATTGGCCTGAAATCCCCTGGTTGGTTGGCATTGTTCTTCTTTGGGATTAGTGCTAAAAAAAGTAGAGTTCATTCCTGGACTTATCACCCCTCTTCTATAGAATTCATTAAACTCTTTGATCAGATCTCCTTTAATTATGTCCCAACAATCTTGATAGAATGCCATTGTGAAACCATCGGGTCTTAGTGATTTTGATCTATTCATAGAAAAGACTGCTTCCTTAATCTCTCCTTCGTCAAACCTTTTTTCTATAAATTGGACTTGAGTCCCTCCCAATGTCTCCCAATCAATGCCTTTAATCCTCCACCTCTCAATTAGGGGTCTTCTATAAATTGACCTAAAATGCTCTAAGCATGCTTTAGCAATCTCACCTTGGTCCGTGATCTCACTTCCCCCACCACTAAAGAAGTAATCATGCACTTCCTTCTCCTTCCATTTGCAATGGCATGGAAAAATTTTGTATTTCCTTCACCTTCTTTGATCCATCTCTCTCTTGACTTTTTCTTACAACATATTTCCTCTCTCAATAATGTCTCCCCTAGCTCTTTCTTCAAATTCAATCTCAATTCCTTTTCACCTTCACCTAAAGTTCCTTCTACCTCTTTGCTATCTATTGCCTCAATATGAGAAATCAAATCAGCTTTCTTCTCCTCCAATCTCCCAAACTTCTACCTAGTCCACTCCTTGATCTCATTTTTCAACAATTGGAGATTGTTTAGGAACTTTTGGCCTTCCCACGTCGTGGGCGCGACCAAACTATTCTACCAAACCTTGACTTTCTTTTTAAAATCCGGGTGAGTGAGCCACGTATTTTCAAATTTGAATGGAGTTGGGCCACTATCATTGATTCTCTCAAACAAATAGATGGGCCAATGGTCTGAGGTGATTCTAGGTAGATTTCTCCCAACTAACCCTGGCCAATGCTCTTCCCAATTGGGTGAAACTAAAAACCTATCAAGCTTGGATATGATAGGGGATGTTTGAAGGTTTGACCAAGTATAGCAAGATTGCCCTAGAGGAATATCTCTTAGCTCAAAAGCTTCAATAAATGAATTGACCTTTCTCATACTCGATGTAGTTCTTTGCCTACTCTCGGTTGTCTCACTCACAAACCTTACTACATTGAAATCTCCCCCTAAACACCAAGGTCCTCCCCAGGGTCCCCTAATATCCCCAAACTCCTCCCACAATGGAATATCCCCAAGCTCAATAAAGGAATTGCAAAATTTTGAACTTTGTTTAACCCCTTTGAATATCATCTCAAAATTCCAGCTAGAACTAGAACCCTAGATATCATAGATTTTGGGTTTTCTTCAAAAACAATTTTTTTGTCCTTTTGTGCAATAGGTGATAAAATGAGGGAAACTAGACTAGGATGGTTTGGTCACGTGCATAGAAGACCACCAACAGTACCCATAAGAAGAGGTGATTCATTGCAAGTTGAAGGGCTAGAAGGTCTAGGGGTAGACCGAAAAGGACATGGGTAGAAGTAGTAGGAAATGATTTAACAATGGATATGGAATTAAACTGAACAGAACGGCAAAAGAGGATTCATGTAGCCGACCCCATATAGTTGGGATAAGGCTTGGATGATGATTGCGCAAGACATACTTTGCACCTAACAAAATATTCTTTCCCTCTACAACTATCCATTCTAACCCAAACTGTGAAATTTAATTGACATTTCCATCAATATATTTTCCTCATTCCAAAGTTTTCCTTCTTGGAAAAAATTTGCAAATCTTGCAGCTAAGCCCTCCCTGAAACCTTTGCTAACACAATTGGTCTTTTCTTCTAGTTCAAAGACCTTGCCAGGCATGCAAAATAAACCTGTTTTCTAGGTTAAGTTTTATATTGAAAAGTTAAAACTTTCAACGGAGACTATAATTGTGAAAACCACCAATACAAGGTGAGCTATATGGTTTATATGGACTATGGGATTGAACATGAGGTCAATGCTGTGGGTCCCCTATCTGATGGAAGGTTTGTATTTGGGCACAGGGTCCCTAAATGTGGCAGAAAGTTCTTGTAGGGAAGCTCACTACTTGACTTAATTTAGAATTTTCACTCTATATATTATAACTGATTTCTTTTCTGTTTTCTTGTTTTGGTTATCGACCAATTATGCAGCTATTCGGATGCTGCAGAAGAGGATGTTAAAAGGTATGAAAGATCCTTTAAGAAGCTTCCACCTGCCCACAAGGTACACTTCTTCTATACCGGATTACAATATTTTGTTAGATTTGGACTTGTAAACCGTTTGAATTATTATAAATTTGAATATATACTACTCTATGCTGGATTTTGTTGTCTAACTTCAGTTTTTGTTTGCAAATAATGACATAATGTTAGTGTTGAAGGCATTTTTTTAATCCAAATAATATTTAAATAAATTAGAACTTAAATAAGTGGGTTGGCTAGTCTGCTAGCCAAATCATTAAAACTATAAAAAAGTATCCCGTATGGGAGTCCCCTCTCTTTAAGTGGGGAGTTCCCTCTCTTTAAGTGGGAGGGACAGGTGTCCTTCACCTAGGAGGAGGAAGTAGTTACATAACTACCCCACTCCCTATTTAAGCTCCTTAAGGGGAAGCTAGAAAGACAGACAGAGAGACTCTTCGGAGAAAATTTTCACAAGAGATTCTTAAGAAAAGCAAAGATAAGGAGAGAAGAAAGGAGAAGTGCTCAAGGGAAGGCAAGGAAGGAAAAGTCTCACTAATATAGGTAGAGAAAAGGAAAGTCCTCTCTATGAATACTTCCTATTTATGTCTTTTGCTATGTATCCTTCTTTCTCTCTCTTTTGTTACTACTTTTGAGAAAGGAAAAAGAGGGAAATAAATCATCTACAACCAGGTGCCTTTACTTGGTTGATTATGGTCCCTCTTCCAAGACAAAGTTAGGGATTAAACCATCTACAGTTTAATTCTTGAAGACTGATTATGGTTCCCTTCAAAGGAAAAATGAAGAGTAAAGGGGAGTAAACCATCTACAACCAGGTGCCTCTACTTGGTTGATTATGGCCCCTTCAATTAAAAATGAAGAGTAGAGGGATGAAAATCGTCTAATCAAATATTCAGTTTGATTGACTACGGTTCCCTTTTTGTATGCAAAATTCCAAAGTTTAAGGCCGTCTACAATCAGAATTTCATCTGATTGACTACAGCTTATTGTGAAGAAAGGGGTGAGAAGGAAGTTTTCTTTGTGTCAAAAAGAAAAGAGAGATGTATTGCTGTATAGTTTTTCAATTGTGTTTTCTTTTTCTTTCTTCTCATTTTTGTACACTTGATGTAAAAGGAAAGCAAATGAAAAGTTCTTCTTAAGTACCCTATTGTTCTTTTCTTTTGTTCTATGCATTCATTTCTCCAAGTCAGAATCAAAAGGTGTTCTCTACTTTCTTGTGGAGATGTAGTTAAGGGGAACAATCTGGATGATTCCCTGAATGGGCCTTACCCAAAATAATAAAAACTCAGTCACTTGATTGAGTGAATTATGTTGCATGAGAATTTATTAAAATTTTCACACCAACAGTTAGTAATAGTTTAAGAGAGTGCTGTGAAGTCATCATGGGCTCATGGCTTTGAAAGCCCATTTTATCATTGTCTACAACTTAAAAGCTGGATGCTGTTTGTGAAGATCATTGTTTGAAAGTTTATAGTTTTGGATCCAATGCAAATGTAGATCCTTCTCAAAACATCCAAACTGTTCTTAGAGGAGTGGGGAACAACCACAATCTGGAACAGGGAAACAAAGAAACATTGTCTTCCCCCACAGCTGTGCTATCTTCTTCATCCCCTTCTGGTAACCCCTGTAACCCTGCTGGTTTAGTTTTTGGGACAAACTCTTCTTCTAGTGTCTCTACAGATTCACCAGATCCCATCCTTGGTTCTGCTTTGCCCATGTTAGTGTCTGAAGTTCGGAAGGGTATCATAGGAGAGAAAACAGAAGGAGAAGGGATTAATGTACTAGAGCACACCAAGGAACAGCTAGAGGAATTCGAGGGAGGGAGAGGGTGTGTTGAATTGTTAGGTGGTGAAATGGAAGAGAGTAGAGAGTAAGCAAGCTCTCTGTTAAAACAGAAGAAAGAAAAGGAAAAGGGAAAGGAAGTTAAAAATGGAAATAGTGGAAAGAGTGAAGATGTGCAACATGATCCCAAAGGAGAAAAAGGATGATTCTTCTGGCAAGGACTCAGTGGTGGATCTATCTGTCAGAATGGGTCTCAAGGTTGAAAATTCTAAGGATCTAGGGTCAATCACTAAGAAAGGCAGAGGGGGAAGACAAGAGGAGGAAAACATTGAACAGCGTTGAGAAGCTCATTAATGATGAGGAGGGGATAAAGAATTCAGATGATCAGATCTAGGGAGGGAGAAGAAGGGGGGCTCTAGTGTGGTAGAGGGTTAGGCTATAGTCTAGTGCCGAACATGAAGATTATCAGCTGAAATGTTAGGGGTTTAGGGAGTGCCACAAAAGTAAGAGCAATCTAGGAAGTTTTGAAAAAGGAAAGGCCTGATATGGTGCTAATTCAGGAGTAAAAAATTCAGGTGTAGGAGCTTTTGGGGAGAGAGACACATTAATTGGAGTTACAAAATTCAGGTGTAAAAAATTCAGGTGTAGGAGCTTTTGGGGAGAGAGACACATTAATTGGAGTTACACCCCATCTTGGGGTACTTCGGGAGGCATAATAATGGTCTGTCATCTGAAAGATTTTAGACCATTCAGTCTACTACCAAATATCTACAAGATAATTGCAAAGGTGTTCTCACTTAGGATTAAAAAGGTGCTTCCCTAACTTATCTCACGATTTCAAGGGGCCTTCATTCAGGAGAGAAAGGATTGGCCAGATTTTAATTACAAATGAGTGTATGGAGGCTGAGAAAAGGTCTAAGAAAAAGAGAGTTGCTATCAAGCTGGACTTGGAGAAAGCCTATCATCTTGTGGATTGGGAGCTCTTAATTCATATTTGTCAAACAAGCTGTTCATACCAGAGAAGAGAAGAAAGAATTCTGGGGGTGAAAACTGAATGAATCGATCCCACCCCAAGAGCCATAATATATATAAATGAAATAAGGGTATTTACAAAAAAGCCCTTGTAGGGCTAAAGAAGAAAATAACAAGAAATAAAATAAGTGATACAATACAACATGAACTACAGCAATATAATACATCAATGTGACTCTTCACACTCCCCCTCAAACTGGTGCAAAGGCATGAGAATGCAAGAAACTTACACATCGGAGGTGACATGAGGGAGAGAGAGAGAGCTTGCAAGAAACAAGTCGTAGATAAAGTGGCAATCCACCTCAATATGCTTCGTCTTTTCATGAAAGACTAGGTTAGAGGCAATCTTTATAGCACTAGTGTTGTTTGCATACAGAGGGATAGGTGTAGGAGAGGAATGATCCAATTCCTTAAATAGAGATTGAAGCCAAACAACTTCACTACAAACAGAGGACATTGCTAGGGGTAAGCATTCGGTTTATTCAGTTAAAAACTGAACCAAAACCAAATTATAGAAAAACCGAAATAACCGAAACCGAAATTTTCAGTTAAAACTAAATTTTAATAATATATATTCTATTATATATTATATATTATAAAATATATATTATGAAATCAAATTTGATTTTATTATATATTAATATATAAATATATTATATATTATATACTATATGTTACATATTATATATTATATCTTACATATTATATATTATATATTACATATAATAATAGAAAGTTCGGTTAACCGAATTTCAAATTCTAAAAACCAAAACTGAAAACCGAATTAACTGAACTGATTTAACCAAAAACCGAAACCGAAATTTTCGGTTCAATTTTTCAGTTTGAATAAAATAGTGCTCACCCCTAGACATTGTCCTGTATTCTACTTTTGTAGAGGATTTGGAGACAAATTATTGTTTCTTGCATTTCCATGAGATGAGAGAGTCACCCATGAAGGCACACCATCCAGTATTGGAATGACGTGTGTCGGGGGCAGCCAACCCAATCTGCATCAGCATAGGCCCTCAGTTGGATAGGAGAGGATGATGAGAAGAATAGACCCTGCGATAAAGTGCCCTGAATATAGCGGATGATCCGATGTACAACAATCAAATGGGGTTGACGAGGAGCAGAGACAAACTGACTTACAACCTGTATTGCAAGTGAGATGTCAGAACGAGTCAGGTGAGATAGATGAGAGATCCCACAAGCTGCTGATAGAGGGAGGCATCAATAAGCAAGGAACCTTTTGACTTGGACAATTTAACATTCAGCTCCAAGGGAGTATCAATCCGTTTATCATCAGTAAGGCCAACCAACTTGACAAGATTAGAGGCATACTTGTGTTGGCAAATGAAATATCCCCGAAAACTTCGTTGAACTTCAAGTCCCAAGAAATAGTTAAGAGGGCCCAAATCCTTCATGTGAAAGGAACTGTGGAGAAGAGACTTGAGGTCATGAAATCCTTCCATATCATCTCTAGTCAACATGTCATCTTTATGCAGGAGGAGAATCGCAAGACCCTAGGCTCTTTTCCTAATAAAGAGAGAATAATTAGAAGCACTCTGGCTATACTAGACTTGCACAACATCTTTGAATTTTTCAAACCAAGCTTGAGGAGCTTGCTTCACCCCATAGAGAGATTTCTTCAGCAAATGTCTCCTCATAATCAATGCTATACTCTTGCGTATAGCCTTGAACTAGGGGTGGATTCGAGCCGAGCCGAGCCGAATAATACTAGGCTCGAGCTCGGCTCGAGACTATTCTACAAGGCTCGAGCTTGAGCTCGAGCTTAGTTCGAATCAGAACCTTGAGCTCGAGCTTGGCTTGAGATAAGAGTTCATAAGCTCGAGCTCGGCTAAGCTCGGCTCGTTTTATATGTTATAAAAATATTTTATTATATATTTTGTAAATATTTTATTATAAAAATATTTAGAAAAAATATTTTATAAGAATAAAAATTATATATAATTTTTTTATTTATGTTTAAAAATTAAGAATTATAATAATTAATATTTATAAATATTATATATATATTCGAGCCGGCTCGTGAGCCTCATGAGCCGTTCTAGTAGGCTCGAGCTCGGCTCGTTTGATAATCGAGCCACTGAATTGGGCTCGAGCTCGCCGAGCCGAGCCGAGCTTTTCACGAGCCGAGCTCGAGCAACTCGTGAAAAGCTCGGCTCGTTGCCACCCCTACTTTGAACCACA